GCCAATTCTTTCAGCAGTCGTGGATGGAGGTCATCTGGGCCTGCTGACTTGTACCCATTCAGCTCCTCCAGGAGCTCCTTAGCTATTTCAGAACTTACCGTAGGCGGACTGGTGCCATGTGAACATCCGTCAATGATCGAGGTGGGGAAATTGGCTTGGCCGGTACACAGAAATACTGAAGCGAAGAACTCATTGAAGAGCTCTGCTTTCCGCCCCCCCCGAGTCAACCACCAACTGTCCTGATTTGTCCTGCAGGGGTCCTATGTTGCTCTGAGCTTTCCTTTTGCCCACTATATACCTGAAGAAGGACTTGTTATTGTCCTTGATTGTTGAAGCCAGCCTGAGCTCAAGCCCCACCTTGGCCTGTCTAACTGATTCCCTGCAATAGCATGCCAGGGAGATATGTTCTCATATATGTTTTAGAACAGAGCAACTTCTGTAATTTGTCTGCCTGCCTACCAGCCTACCTCTGTTTTCAGAATGAGAGGTGGGAACGGGAGTGGAGGGAGTTCGGTCTGGGGGGTTTTCAGCCCCTACTGGAGTGGGGCTCCAATTCACTCACCCCACCCTCCAGCCCTAGCTGGGGAACCCCTAGAACCAGCTCCCTCTGCTCCCTTTCCCCCCTCCCATTCTGAAAACTTTGCAGCCTCATGGGGAAGAGAGGCCATTGCTAAGAGAAAGCGACTGTAGGCAGCCAGCCTGCTAACAGATAGATTCCCCTCCTCCCTAGAACCAACAGTAAACTTCTGTTTGTTCCAGGGGATCGCTGTAATGCAGAACACTTCCTGCAAAGTGTTTTCAATTATAGGCGGGGTGCTGCACTTCTGTCTGCACCCTTGAATTTTTAAACAACTCAAAGTCAGGGACAGCTTTAAATTCACTGGGGTTCTGGAAAAGTTATACCAGCTGTAGTCACAGAGGTCAGGTACACACATTCAAAAAGCCAGAGGCAGAATCGATCTAAGTTACACAGTTTTCTATAAGCAGCATAGTTTAGATTGGCAGCAAACAGACCACATGTTTGTCTTTTGTGGGGGTGGGAAAGGGGGCAAACTTCAGACTGGGTTCTGCCATTTTTAAACCAGTCTCTGTGTGTGCTGAACTTCTGTTCTGTTACAGATATAAACTGGCTTAGAGTGCCAAACTTCTGTTCTGTTATGAGTATAGGCCGGTTTCCAATCACTTGTACTGGTAAAAGTGTAATATCTATACCTGCCCTGAATTTATTGAAAGATTTTAGTTTCCAGAACAATTTCAGCACACTCTTCAGGTTTGTTGCCATCCTCCATTTCTAGCCACAAGCACACATTTTTTAAGCTGTATTGTCCCTCTGGGGACACTCCAAGAGAATGGAGGTTGTGTTTGCTTCGCACTTCTGCAGCCTCTCCTTAAGATATATATGTTACCTTCAAGGATCTGCCCTGGAATGTACAACAGCATAAGCTGTTGTAAGATGTAAGAATTTGGCCCATAGCCTGGAATTACTAAATAGATAACAAAGACCTCAAACCACAACCATTGGAGAACTTTTATTTCTTCAGACAGAATAAATAAAATAATCCAGTTCCATGGTAAACTCCTGTATGGCTGGATATCAATCATTTGTCAACCATTCCTTAACTGTAAGTACAGCTTTCATCCTCTAATATCTTTAATAATCAATGTGAAAGCCTTGAGGATACAATCAGGAAAGAGCCAACTGTGGCAGAAGCATGTAGGAGTTGTACTTAGCTCCATAAGTATCATGCAGTTTGCTAGCCATAGGTCTTCCGTGAATGACTTTAAATACTATCTGATCTGCATGATCTTTTGCATCAAAGTTCTCACAAAACTTCTTTAAGAATAGGGAAGTGTTTCATACCACCTGACTGATTTTTCTTCCCTTACTACCCACTTCTGAGCATTTTCTATGTGCCAAATGACTGACAGTTTCTGACCTTAGAAGTAACTTCCTTTCATTAATGTTTCTTCATACTGTACTTGACTGGAAAATTCCAGCTAGTTTTGATAACTTATCACATCAATGACTGTTTTCTTTACATTGAATACTGCAGTAACATTAATTAGTTATCAAAAGCAGTAATTGCATGCGAAATCCATCAGCATAAAAGGCACTTCATGAATTTTAGAAATATATTTATTACAACTTTCATTACATTCAAGGCAGGTTGATAGATATATGCAATATATAATCTCTGTTACTTTCTGTATACTTTCTGATTTACAATTTGCATATTGAATCTCAACTGTCTGCGTTCTTTAGTTTAATGCTAGAAAGAAAACAATTTCCTATCAAGTTTCTCTTACAATTAGTCAGATTAGGAGCACTGCTATGTGCA